GTCTGCATCTGTCTCTGTCCGACACATTCGTAATTGCCAACCTTGAATTATTATTATTATTATTATTATTTAAATAAATTTATAAATTTTTATTTAAACACTTTAACGATTATTATTATTATTATTATTTAAGGTTTTTTTTATATAGAGAACAATGCGTTGCAAAAAATAGTTTTTTTTTTTGTTATAAAGTATTACGGTCCTGATAAAATTTTCTTTTCCTGTCCCTTCTTTCGAATATTCCAGAATTAGGGACAATAGAAGAGAAGAAGGGTCTCTCTCTCTCTCTCTCTCTCTGATCCCTCTTTGATGAAAAGAAGGGTTGTTAAAACCACCACGATTTTTACTCTCTTTCAAGTTATCACGTTGTATTATTATTATTATTACTACTACTACTACTACCGATCGTGCACTTCCATAATTTAAATAATTATTATTATTATTATTTTATTTTTTTATTACGTCATATTTGTAATAAAAAAAAAAATTATTCGTTAAATAACGTAAGAAAGAAAGAAAGACGCAGAAAGTTCGGTCGAACGTTGCGTTTTAAAATAATTCCCGCCATTTTTTAAAATTAACTTACAATTCAAGCGTATGAATGATACGTCGTCTGCTGCTGTTCCGATTTAATTTTAGATTTTCAAGTTAAAGAATATATTTTATTATCGGATCGTTTTTTTTTTTTTTTTTAAATAATTTTTTCAAAAAATTTTTCATTTTTTTTTTTTTTGTTTCCGTCAGAAATTTTTTTTTTAGTTCATTCACGAGTGATTAAATATAATTAACAAAAAGACAAATGAAAATGTTGATGCCTACAGCCGCCCTGCCGACAGCAGGAGAAGGTGGTAGTATATTAGGCAATACCGAAGGACTCATATCGGGTTTGGCAGCTTTAAATTCGGCTGCTAACACTCCCGGAGGTATACAACAAAAGGATACAACATGGACGAAATTATTTGTCGGTGGTCTACCTTATCACACGACAGATAAAAGTCTTAGAGAACATTTTTCGGTTTATGGTGACATCGAAGAAGCTGTCGTCATAACCGATAGGCAAACTTCTAAATCTAGAGGCTACGGTTTTGTAAGTATCATTTTTCGTTTGTTTGTTTGTTTGTTAAAATCGTGTCGGGACGTGAATCGATATCATCGACTGCTTTACCGTTTCCCTAGTGAATAAACATATGCCCTAATTGTACATGCATCAGCTGAGACTCTCCATAGTATGTGGAAAGGTTACGGTTGAAAGAATGAATGTGCAGATGCATCCGTTGCTTTTATAATGGCGCGCACACGTATTCCTACGGGGTCCACTGCCTCCTCCACCTTCGTGCCATCGTCGGGTGCTTGGTAAAACGTAATAAATTATTTCATTTCCTGTTAATATTTTTATTACATGGCAAAGTTTAATCGATATATGTTATGATTGTTTCCACTCGACCACATTTTCGTTTTCTCTCTCTCTCTCTCTCTCTTTTTGATCTGCACAAAATGAAAAGTAAATTTACTTCGAGGAACCACATTCGTGGACATTTTTAAACACGAGAAAAACCTGTGATGAAAGAGAGAAACGATTTAGTGAGCAAAAGTAGTTTAAAAAGGTATTACGAGAGGGGAGGTGAGGAGGGGGGATGGGAAATGGAACTCTGGGGGTCTTAGGTCTATTTTTACGACAAACGACAGCTGGTAGCGTGCATTGCCCCACGTGACAGCTAATATTATTTCATGTATATCAAAACACTTTCTCACCATCGGGACCTCATTATCCATCTTTTCATCGACGACGACGACGACGACGAGGGTTTTTTTTCATATTTTCTTCTTTTTTTATTTTTTCTTCATTTTTATTCGGTTTAATTACACTCGAGCACGTCTTTAAATAATGTTTATAAATACAAAATCGTGTGATTTTTTTTTTTAATTATATGATCGTAGTCCACTTGAACTTGTTTCCCGACTGTCTCGTCGACATTTTGCAATTTCATAGAAAGTTTTCACTTGGTTTGGTTAACTTTCAAATATTTTGCCAGGTTTTATAATTTTTTTTTTTTACAAAAAAATTCGAGGAAAGTTTTGTGATGATGATGGTTTTTTCACATACCTTTAATTATGAGACCGTAAATTTTTTTTTAAAAACAGGTGCAATTAATTTATCTTAATAAGTTTAAATAATCGATACAAATAAGTCGTTGTGAGTTGTACAACAACAAAAAAAAAATTAGACTATTTTCAAAACATGCTCAACCTCAAAGGGTTGTTGTTGTTGTTGTTTGTTATATTCCCTACATATAATTTTTAGTTTGTAAGGGTTGTTCATTATCGACTAAGGCTCATAAAATAAAATAAAATAATTTCATAATGACAAATTACGAACGCACGAAATTCACGAATGTATCATTTTCTGTTTATTATAATTACATTTTTTTTTTTTTTTTAATCGATAAAAAATATTTTAAATTTATTAAAAGATTATTGATAAACGTTATTAATGGGGTAAAATCATCAAATAAATATTTGTTATTTTTAACTGATGGCGGGTACCGAGTACCTCAAATTCGAGGGACGTGTCGGAAGTCGATAGTTTTTTTTTCTGTTTGTTCTAAAAACGATTTTTCTTATTTTATTGTTTGTTAAATAATTCAATTGTTAGACTATGAATATATATATATCGTAAATAATTATTGAACTTGGAATTAAAAGACGTTGAGCATGTGCCTTACGCCTAGGTAAAAAGCACACCTGCGTTCCCCCATGCGGAAACTGCCACCCGCCGCCTGGAGTTTACATCTGTTCCCTTTCCCTCCCTCCCTTCCTTTTCTAATAATAATAATAAGAGATCGTTCTATTCTGGTACAGTTATGGCAAAAAAAAACAAACGAACCTGAAATGTGTGGTGTGCACAAACCCGCCATCGATCCCTGAAAGATATATATATAAACGTGTGTGTGTGTACCTAATGGGGGAAAAAAAATTTTATTCCCGCCAATATTACGTTGAAGCTAACTAGTTTATCAATAAAAAGGGGATGTTGAGAGAACCGAACCGATCCCCCCCTTTTATTTTTTTTATTATTATTTTTTTTTTTTGTTCCAGCCACCCTTCTTATTCCAAAACCGTTGAGGATTCTATTGTGTGTTCCAGAAAAAAAAAAAAAAATGAATAGAACAGCTGACGTGTATAGTGACAGGATAAACAGTGGCGGCTTATTTTAAATTAACTGGCGAAAAATTATTGTCCATTAGTAATTGATTTTTTTTTTTTTTTTTTTGGAGAAAAGACCATGCGAGTCGTCTGCTTTTTTCTTAATTTTATCCAGCGTTCTCCCTTCACGCCTGCCTGCCTGCCTGCCTGCTTGCTTGCTTGCTTGCCAGCCTGCCATCCATCCAGACAGCCTGTTTTTTTTTTTTTTTTTCCTTTGCGATTAATGATAATAATAGTTTTCTTTTTTTACGTAATAGGAGTTTTATATTAAATCTGAGGTCAGATGTTTTTCTTTTTTGTCCGTTTTAAACAAATCTGAATCACCTCCTCTTCCTTTAGGGGGGAAAACAATTTGTTTGGTACACAGTTTTATGTCGATGGCACAACACATTACATTTCCATCATTATTATTATCATTACGACTCGGTACAAACGAGAAAAAAGTAAAGATTATGTAATGTTATTATTTATTTATTTATTTTTTTTATTAATTAGGTAATTATGGGAGATCGTCCTGCTGCCGAAAGAGCGT